TTTCTGCCATAAACAATGCTGCCTGTGGTTTCCACAAGAGGTGGACATGACCTCCTGAAGCTGTCACACTGGAATCCCATTGTAAAAACTATTTGCTTTTTCCTATATGGTCTTGGCCATTGCTCAAAATGTAGGAATCTATTACTTATCTTTGTTTTTAAGATTTTAGTTTGTCTTGCCAACACTGATGCTAAAGGTGTTTTGAAATAAAGCGGGCACACCAGTCTGAGGAGAAATAGGTCCAAAAATTCAGATAAACACCAGCACTAAGAACTTGCAGAACATCTTGGCCATAGAGAGCTTAAAGATCGTCTATTAATAAGGAAGTGTTGCCAACCCTTTTAATGCTGACATCCATTAAGATGTTTATATATATATATATATATCTTTGTGTGTGTGTGTGAGGAAGATCAGCCCTGAGCTAACATCCGTGCCAATCCTCCTCTTTTTGCTGAGGAAGACTGGCTCTGTGCTAACATCTATTGCCAATCCTCCTACTTTTTTTCCCCCAAAGCCCCAGTAGGTAGTTGTATGTCCTAGTTGCCCATCCTTCTAGTTGCTGTATGTGGGACCCAGCCTCAGCATGGCCGGACAAGCGGTGCATCTGTGAGCGCCCGGGATCCGAACCTGGGCCACCAGTAGCAGAGCGCACGCACTTAACTGCTAAGCCACGGGGCCGGCCCAAGATGTTTATATTTTTAAACCGTAAAAAAAATCTACAAAAGCAGTAACAGGAAGACTGTAGAAAAACCTAAAATACAACTAAGCAAGAATAAGAAAAATAAAACAGCATATTCCCACCATCCAGAGATTATATAATAACATTTGAGTGGGTATCCTTCTACACCTTATTCCAAAAATATATACATATATATATCTTTTTATCAAAGTGAGATCACACTGTACATATTGCTTGTAACATGCTTTTTTCAGTTAACAATCTTTACCTTCCAAAACAATACATTTTCATCTCATCTAATACTCAGTCTAGGTTCAAATCTTCCCAGTTTTCTCAAAAATGTCCTTCACAGCTTACCTGTCTAAACAAGATCCAATCTAGAAACAAGTATTGATTCTGATTATATATCTTAAGTGTCTTTTAATATAAAATAGTCCCTTTTCTCATGACACCAATTTGTGAAAAGACCTGGGCGGCTGTCCTGCAGAACATCCCATCTTCTAAATTTTTCTAGTTGCTTCTTTATGGTGTCCTTTAGATGGTCACTTTATCTCCTATATTACTATAAGCTGGAAGTTTGGCCTACAGGCTTGGTAATTTTTTCCTTTTTTATTTTGTGAGGAAGATTGGCCCTGAGCTAACATCTGCCAATCCTCCTTTTTTTTTGCTGAGGAAGACTGGCCCTGGGCTAACATCCATGCCCATCTTCCTCCACTTTATATGGGACGCCGCCACAGCATGGCTTGACAAGCGGTGCGTCGGTGCACGCCCGGGATCCAAACCGGCAAACCCCGGGCCACCGCAGCGGAGCGCGCGCACTTAATGGCTTCCGCCATCTAGCCAGCCCGTACAGGCTTGATAATTTTAAGGTACACATGTTTGGCTAGAACAGATCATAGACGATTAGCATATTTCATTTGTATCAAATCAAGAGCTATATAATATCTGAATGTCCCCCATCAGTGATGTGAAAAACTGCCCACTAGATTATGGTGATAACAGTCAGATTGTTTCTCTTTTTTCCCCAACTTCATAGTTTTAAAGTACAGAAAAGTTGAAAGAACAGTACAATGAACAATAGGGTGCCCACCACTTAGACTGCACAATTGTTAATATTTTGCTAACTTTGCTTTATCTATACATATATAAAAATATTTTTCTTGATGAACCATTTGAAAATAAGTTACAAACATCAAAAATTTAACATATTTTAGAATGCATCACCTAAAAATAATGACATTCTCCTTTTATGGCCTTTTCATTTTGACCCTACAAAATTTAGCAATTATTCCCTGATATCACCTAATATTTAGTCCATATGTAAATTTCCTTAATTGTCCCCCCAAAGGTCTTTTATAGATTTTTTTTTTAACCAGGATCCAGTCAATATCTACTCATTGCATTTGGTTAAGGAGTTTCTTTAGTCTCTTTTAATCTAGAACAGTTCCTCCCCATTTCCACTTTTTGTTTTATAACGACATTGATTTTTTGTGTGTGTGTGAGGAAGATTGTCCCTGAGCTAACATCTGTTGCCACCCTTCCTCTTTTTGCTGGAGGAAGACTGGCCCTGAGCTAACATCTGTGCCAATCTTCCTCTATTTTGTATGTGGGATGCCTCCACAGCATGGTTTGATGAGCGGTGTGTAGGTCCATGCCTGGGATCTGAACCCGCGCACCCCAGGCCACCAAAGCCGAGTGCACAAACTTAACGACGATGCCACCGCACCAGTCCCAACATTGACTTTTTGAAGAGATGAGGCCAGTTTAATATTTACTCTTTTTTTTTTTTTT